CCGGGCCCCGGGGCCGTGCAGCGCGCCGGCCTGCAGGGCGACGGCCGGAGGTACGGTACGCGCCCCGGCAGTTCGATCACCGCCTCCCCCTGCTGGGGGCTACAGCCCGCCCCGCCCGCCACGCCGTTCTCTTCATCTACAACACACAGGGAAGGCTTCCATTCGCTATTATTATGCTTCGCAGTTTCATCACCCGAAAAGCTCTGGCGGCCCACTGACGCGCCGCGCCACGTGCGACGTCCTGAGGTGGGAGGGGGGCGGGGGTAGGAAGTCCCGGCCCCGGCCTATGGCGGGGGCTCCGACAACGCTGCGCTCAATTCTTCCACCCGGTAGCAGGGAGCTGAACATTGTCCAAGCAGATGGGGGAGCGGGAGGGGCGGCCGCGCCGCACATGCTACGAAACGAGAGGGAAAATGTTTTATGCTGGGAAGAAAAGGAATAATATGCAGATGCTCGGGGGAGGGTGATGAACGAGTGTGAAAAGTACGCGCGCGTCCCGCCCGGGGCGGTCTGGGTGGCGGGTGCGGCCCAGGCAAGGTCGCTCCAGCCTAGGAGGAGGAGGGGAGGGAGGGGGAGTGTGAGGGCCAGTGGTGGGCGGGAGGGTAGCGGTGCTGCGGTGCCGCGCAGCCGCTATTTTGGAGGCACGTACCCCATCAGGTTGACGGAACAGGCATCGCTGGTCTACCCAGCTAAAGCACACGCCCCCGAACAACTCCGTGCGGCCCTTTACACCTACAGAACTCCCCCATCTCAGTCGATCCACACTAACATTTACACAGTGTGTCAGAACTCATACAAATCGGATTAGGCGACAATTACGTAGGTGTACTAACTAAAGAATACCACCCCTTCCGACAACTGTGTGGTCAGTGGCGGGGCCCCGCCTCAACCCACCTGCCTCGCCCGCACCACCTCACCAGGCCGCAGACAATGCAAACGCAAAGCTCCGCCATGTTAATTGGTGCGCTCGCTGCCGCCCCGCCTCGTCCCACCTCCCTCCCCCC